GTTACTTAAGACTACAGAACTCTTTTTTAGTACTATCTAGTACCGAAAAATCATTTTTTACACTATACTACCAGTTTAAAACTAAAAAACAAAAAAATGATTCTTAGTCAAAAAATGTCATTATTAGTCTAAAACTGCCATTTTTAGTACAATCCACACCCTTTTTCATAGATTTTTTTGCGAAACTTCACGAAACATGGAAATGACGTGCCATCGGTCGTATAATGCATTTCTTTCCCAAGCCCTCGGCGGTGTAATGCAAAAAGGAAGTTGGAAAAACTTTTTCTTGCGGATATAAAGCTCATTGCCAAACATTTTTCTAATGTGATTAGTTTTCGTTAAAGGCAAAGATCATTTGAATATTAGTGCACTGATAAGGCGGAAGTGTTGTGAGTGCGGTTGGAGGTGGATTTTAAAACTTTTTTCCTTTTTCGTTTTTAAAAGGGGGATTGGCTGTGGGTTTTTTGATGTTTAAGTGGGAAGGGATAAATAAGGTTAAGGTGGGCTTTTATTAGGCCGTTCACTTTTTGCGTCCAAAGAGGTATTTATAAGTTTTTGATGTGGAAAGAAAGTTCTTGCATTTTCAAAACAATTTTTTTTATTTTTACCCTCGCTGTACTTAGCCTAATGCAGTTTTAACAGCCCTACCTGTCTTTACTTGACCGTAGCCGGCTCCGCCCGGCCTTATGCGAACATACCCGGCCCTACTCGGGCCTACACAGCTCTACTCAGCCCCCCACAGCCCTATGCAGCCTTATTCAGTTCTACACGGCCCTAGAAAACTTTACCGGGCCTTACAAAGCCTACTCAGCCCTACACGGTTCTACCCGGCCCTACACGGCCCAACCCGGCCTTACACGGCTTTACCTGCTCCTAAATGGCCCTGTCCGACTGAACCCGACCCTGCTTGGCTCCATACAATCTTTCCTGACACTACATGGACCTACTCGCCTTTACGGGTCCTACCCGCGTTTACCGGGTTCTAACCGCCCTACAGGAACCTACTCGAATTTGCCCTACCCTACCCTACTTTACCTTTTCCTACTTTTCCCTACCTTACCCTCTTACTTAAAAGTGCCATACTATTTTGCTCGTCCTCCTTTTATTCCTTCTTTTGCCTTAATTTTCATGTAAAGTTCAGTAATTTCTTGAGCCCTCGCCTCTAATTGACAGCTGATCCACGCGTGCACTTGCGCTTTTAGCAGAAATCTTAACGGTTGACGTTGTAATTTGAGTCACTAAATTTTCGATTGTTTACGGCCGCTGTTCTTTTAATATTAAGATATTGTTTTCAATCCCGAAAAATATGAATACGTACATATTAGGGCAGGGAATGGGTACGCAAATATTTTCCCTGATCTTTAGCGATGTGCTAGAGTAGGGCTAGAGTGAGGCTAGATTTGAACTGGTTAAGGCTAGGGTAGGGCTAAAGGTGAGGCTGAAGTAAGGTCACAACAAGGTTAAAGGTAGGCCTAAGGCAAGGCCAAGATAGGGCTAAAGTAGGGTATGATAGGTTTAACGTAGGCTTAAGATAGCGCTAGAATCTTACACTCCAAAAATACATAACGTTTCCAACATATGTTAATGTCCAGTAAAATAGACATTTTACTGCTCGTTCCCTATTCTACGTCCCGTTCCGAATTTTCTTTGGCTTTAATTATTCGTGAAACTCGTGTATACTATTATTCCGACCTGGAGGTCTTGAAACGGGCTTTGGTTTAAAACTTTTTGCATTTTTGGTTATGAGGAGATAGAGTAGGTCAAAGCAGGGGTAAAAAAGAAACTTACTAAACATTCCAAGCGGTTGAAAAAGGAGGTTAGGGTAGGAGTGAGAGGAAGGGTAAGACAAGGTTGTAGGGTAGAATAAAGAAAGGCTCGGGTCAAGTGGAGCAGGGCAGACGTTGGAGCAAGGGTAGATCACGGAAGAAGGGTAGAATAGAGAAGAGTATGACCAAGGTGGGGCAAGGCAGGTGTTAGACCGAGAGTAAGGCAAGGACGAAGGTTAGAATAGAGAAAGGTATGGCTAAGCTATGGTAGGGTAAGACAGAAGTAGCAGAAAGGGTAGAGCAAAAAAACAAGTAGAAAAAAGACAGGCAACAAAGGGTAGGGCAGACTGAAAAAGAGTAGTTTGGTTTATGTCTTAGTACTGTACTATCAAAGCTTTATTATTTACAATCTTATGTTTTGTTGGCTATAAATTTGTATTTCTCCTACAATTTATATTATTATAAAGTATAACTACATTAAATTGCAAAAAATTGTAAAGTAAAATGGCGGGTTTACTGTGATACGCTTTAGGATAAAATGGCTGCTTTTCTGTGTTATGTATCAAAAATTTTTACCTTGAAGTCTATTTTTGCTATAACGAACATAACTTCTTTGTTATTTCGCCCTGCCCTGCCCTGCCCAAAATTTTTTTAACATTGGGTTTAATCTCTATTATTGATTTTCAAGGCTTAATAACAAACATTTTTGCTTTTAACTCTTTCCTCCCAGCTTAAAACCACTTTGCCCTTAACCTTACCCTACTACCGGTTCTTATATTAAAGGTTTATTCTAATGTTATCAAGAGTTTTTGAAAAATTTACACCAATCTTATTAAATTTTTGAAAAAAGCTTATTTTTCCACCCAAAACACTTCCTTATATTCCCCTTCTTTTCTGGTGTCAAAGAACCATTTGCAACTTGTTCCATTGTTGTTATAACGAAGTTTGTTGACTAAAACTCCGTTTTTTGTTCGAAACACTTCCTCGTTCAAAAAAGCCCTTTTTCGGCTTATAAACTTGTGTTTTTGCTTATTCGATTAATCTTAACATAATCGTGAGAAACTTCTATTGCATGTTCTTTAAACATCTTTTTACTTTCTTCGCTGTTTGTTACCTAAATATTAAAATGAAGTTACGGCTTTTTATGCCGAGCTACAGTGGGATAGTTTAAGTACGTGGAGGTTTGGAGGGTAGGGTATGATAGGATAGGGTAGGGTATGATATGGTAAGGTATGGTAGGGTTGGTCTAGGGTAGGCTAAGGTAAGGCAAAGGTAATACTAGGTTGAGCTAATGTAAGGCAAAGATAAGAAGAGTAAGTTAAAATATGGTAAGACAAGGCAAGGTGGCCGCAAAAAAAAAATTGTTTTTAAACCGCAAAAACTTTCTTTACAGCTTCAAAAATTCAATTTCAAACATCTTTTTTATAGCGCAATAACTTTCTTTCCAAGTTAAAAAATGTAGTTAAAAAAACTTTTTTTATGATACAAGAACTTTCTTTCCAATTTTATGGAAAAAAAAACTTTTTTTAAATTAAAATTTTTTTTTTGAAATTTAAAATTTTTTTTTGAATTTTTGTCAATTTTTTTTCATTTCTACCCCTCCAATGAATTCTACCTTCTTTTCAAACCCTTTCCCCCAAAAATCCCCTCTCTTCTCTACCCACTCTCCCCCCTTCCTCACACTCTCTCACCTCTCTCTACCCTCATTCTCTTCCCATTTCGCTCGCGCCCTCCCCTCACGCCACACTGCCTGCGGCTCGTTTTCGTTCATTTTTTGCGAAAGCGGCGAAAAAAACCATCGGACTGGTATTTTCGGCCGCCACCCGCAGCGCCCGCCACTTTTCCGCGTTTTCCCGCCCAAAAACCGCCCCAAATACGAGTTCTCTGCGTGTCGGCCGCTCTCTTAGTGCGCCGTGCTATTTAGGGGTGAGTGGCTGGTTTTTGCGATACCACCCGCATCGGTCGATCGGTTTGAAAGCGGCTTAAAATAGACAAAATGAAGAGGTTGTGGGGGTATAAAACATACCGTAAGGAGGGGGGGGAATGGTTGGGGTATATAACGAGTGATAAGATATTGCAGGGGGTTGGGGGTATTTGGGTAAAAAGGGGTACTTTTTGTGTTGGAAGGGGTGTTTTTTGAGGTAAAATGGCTGTATTTGGATAAGAAAAGGTGTTTTCTTTGGGTAAGGAGGGGTGTTTTTGGGTAAGTTTTGGGTATGGAAATGTGTTTTTTTAAGTAAAAATTTAGTAGACTTTCTTTAGGCAGGATAAAAACTAATTGCAGGATAATGAATTGTAGAGTGGAGTAAGGTAGGGCAGACTAAGTTAGGGTTGGGCAGAAAAAATTTTAAGAATTTAATGTTTGAAGGGTACGGTCAATGCCGAACTCGAGTAGGGCAAGTATAGAGAAGAGACAAAATAGGTTATTTTATTAAAGTAAATATTTTAAAGTAAGTTATGATAGTGTAAAATACGCCTAATATAATACCCATAAAGTTTTCATTTTATTTTTAAATTGCTGCAGCAATAAGCATGCTGTTTTTAAAACTAGGTAAATAATAAAATGCGCCATAATACTAACCCTATTATCATTATATTCTACCTCAAAAGCAATCCTAAAATTGAAATTTCTAGTACTAAAAAATGTACAAGTAGTACCAATTTTCTTCAAAAATCGAAATTTAAAAAATCTGAACCTACCTAACATACGGTTGTTCTATTACGCCATTAGTGACTTGTGCATTCCCAATTGAAACGATTATTGTGGCTAGGAAGAAGGTGAACATTGAGATAGAAATTTGTTGAAATTTAAGAAGATTCGTGAAGATTACTGTCATTTATGGTTACTGTGTCTTAGTCCATGCCTGAAAATTTTAAATTTAGAAAATGAAAGAGGTTTTTTTGTAAAATACGTTCTGAAATGTACGGTGAGGTAGGGTAGGACAGGGTAGGGTAGAGTAGGGTATACAGAGAGGGCGAGAGAGCGTGGAAAAAGGGGAGAGTGGTAGATCAGGGTGAAAATTGAAAAAAAAAATGTTTTTTTGAAAGCCCCTTTCATTAAAAATGGCAATTTACAAACTAAAAAAAAATTTTTAATTTTGATTTTTTAAAAATTTTTTTGAAATTTTTTGAAATTTGCGCGAATTCCATATTCTTCATCTTAAAATTTCCCCAACTGCCATTTCTAATTAAAAACTTTCAGAAAATCATTGCTGTACCGAACCCCTCAGCGAAATGTCGGCGGAGGCACCGGCTTCAGCACCCTTCGTTGGCCTTCTATACCTATTTGTTAGCCTCTTCCCAATACCTTTTCAGCTACTGGTTATGTTTGTAAGTTGAATTTGGAAATTAATTTTTTTATGTTTAGGGGTGGATTTTAAATTTTTTTTAATATTTTTAATTTTAAAGGGGTTTTTAGGTAACAAAATTAATTTTAAAGCTCATTTTTGGCTAAAAAAGGTATTTTAAAGACGGTTTTAGGTAACAAAATGTTTAAAAATGTATTTTAAAGAAGCTTTTAGGTGAGAAAAGTGCTTGAAAAGGAACTTTAGGTAACAAAAAACATAAAAAACTACTTCAAAACTAAAAAAACTCTATTTCAGGGCATTATAAAATCCAAACTGGTCCGTTCCCGACCAGCCTACTTCATAATGTTCGTACTATCAGTAGTCGAAACTGGCCAGCTACTAGTTCACGCCTCGACTGGTGGCTTTCTAATAGCACGTCACGAGATCCCCGAGACCGTGAACGCTGCCATGTCACACATAATGCTACCCCTATGGCTGAGTATGGTATTCCTGCACGTACACCTCAGCATGAACCGAGTATTAGTGATTACGGTAAACAAATGCGCTTCGACGGATGGTTACTGTAGTTACAGTAACTTTTTGACGTTTTTCTGTTGTGTTATCGGTACGGTAGTGGGTTACGGTTGTCATGTGGATCAAATGAGGTTTCATCTGTCCATTATGGCGTGGGCTTCGAATCCGGATTCGTCGTGGCTGGTTACTGCCTTGTATTACATACAACTACTATTGCCGGTGGTGGGGATTGTGAATTGCTTGGCGATTGTTTGTGTTATCATGAGAAAGGTTGGTTTTGAATTTTCAAATTTTTTAAAATAAAATTGTTTTTTTTTGAAAAAAATGTCATTGTAAGCACCGGCTAGGGCTATTATAGGATAAAAACTCGCTTTCAAACCAAAATTTTTTAAAAATTTTTAAGTAAAATTAAAATTTTTAGCGCCGCCGTTTCCAAAACCACTCAAATATCATCGGTTCTACCGAAGTTCGGATCTTTTTTCATTCGAGTATAGCCTTCTTTCTAACGGCCGCCAATATCTTCTTATGGTTTCCACTGAATCGCCTGTTTGATAGTGTTATCATAATCAATGTTCTGGTCAATTTGGAATGGATATTAATCTGCGCTTTGCCACCGTTTTTAACATTGATTTTTAATACGTAGGTTAATTTAAAATTTAAAAAATAGTACAGTAGAACTCCTATACACCAAATTGCTTAAAGTTTGGGATAGGGGAGGTCGGTATAGAGGAGTTCTTCATTGAGGAGGTCGTTACCGAAGACTTCGATATAGAGAAGTTTCACTATCTATTAGGTGACGACAGAAAGAACCCGCCATACTTTTCCTGTAATTTCCTGTAACAAATGGCGGGTTATTTATGTCGGCACCTAATAGTGCTAAAGCCCTCGTACTTAGGGCCGCGCGCTGGGGGTGGACGGGGGGGGAGGGGGGGGGGACCCCAAAAAAAAATTTTCGAAAAAAGTTTGAAGTGGTCCCCCCCCTGTGGATTTTTTGAATAAATTTTTTCGACCCCCGCCTCTAGACCAAAAGTCCCCGTCCGGCCCTGCTCGTACTACTGAATTACGATACAGTAAAAAAGACCCAGATAACCCCGAATAACTCAAAAAATTTCAGTGAAATCAGAGATACGATAATCGATTCGTTCGGTGAAAAAGCGCGCATCTTCCTCTTGACGGATCATCCCAAACGAAACAACAAATGTAAATTACTTGTGAATAACGGAACGGGAACTCCCGTCTGAAACTGGACTGGTGAGAAAATTTTATTTTTAAAAAAGTTAAAAAAACTAAATTAAAAAATATTTTATTTTGATTATCCACCCCCTAAAAAATTTACCACTCCCTAATTTTTTTTGGAGTTTTAAAGGCTGAAACACATTCCTTAGCCCTAACTAGCCTTGATTAAATTCAAATAAAAAAAATCATTTTTTCGCTACCCATTCCCAAAAAATTTTTTACCCTGCCCGACAATTTTTCATGCCGTCTTGATCTATAAAAGGCTTTGTAAAGATAATAGTTGACATAAATTTTTGATTGTTGAAAACTTTTTTTTTGATCCACCCTCAAAAAATTTTACCCCGCCCAAAATTTTTTGCTTTTTTTTTTTAATAACGCTGCTTTAAATGGCTTCATATTTTACCTTTTTTTGAAATTTTATCGAAAAACGCTTGGATCCACCACCCTCACACCCTCAACCCCACTCTTCCGCCTGTCTCTGAACCCCTCTTCCCAAAAAATACAAAAAACTTTAAAAAACCCCGCCCCGACTTACCAAAATCTTAAAAATCCATAACCTTTTCAATCTTCCAGGTATTGACCACGATTCGGATGTCAAAAAAATGGTGCCACAATGATCGGGCTGAGTCAAAGCGACGATTCACTCAACAAACAATCGCCCAAAAATGGCACAAAACTCTTCCTTTTGCGCAATATAATGGCTGGTGTAATGACGGGTAATCGGTCTTCAGATATTTCCTTCGTATTTGCCAATGTTGAAGAACGGGTACACTGTAATTCTTAGAATGTAAAGTAAGAATTTGGAGTAGGAATAAATAATTAAAAATTTTAAGCACGCGGCTATGTATCACACTAAAATCGAAAAATTTTCACTCTAGTCTACCTACTCCAGCCTTAATCAAAATTTTTCGATAGCCTTAGTCTTGCCCAGAGCCTTAGTTCACAGCCCTAGCCCAGAGTCCTAGTCTAGAGCTCTAGCCAAGAGCCCTAGCCCGGAGCCCTTTCCTAGAGTCCTAGCCCAGAGTCCTAGCCCAGAGCCCTTGACCAGAACCCTACCCCAGAACCCTATTTCAAAGCCCTAGCCCAGAGCCCTAGCCCAGAGTCCTAGTCCAGAGCTCTAGCCAAGAGCCCTAGCCCAGAGCCCAAACCCAGAGTCCTAGCCCAGAGCCTAGAGCCCTACTTCAGAGCCCTAGCTCTAGCCCTTCCTTTAGCTCTCGCTCTATCCCGAGCCATAGTTCTAGCACTAGCTCTTGTCCCTGCTTTAACCCTAGCTCTTGCTTTTGCCCTAGCTACACATCTCTTACTTTATCCTTACCCAATTCTGCTACTGCCTACTTGATCATAACAAGAACCTCAGAAGTTTCAGAAAAACCAAACTCCAAAACCCAAAAGTAAACTTAAAAAAATAAATTTGTAAAAGTAGACAAATTATTTTGCTTCAAGAAATCGTCACGCAATGAAACTCGTATCTCACATTTATCATTACAAATCGGAGTTTCTTCGAGTTGCAAAAAGAAATAAATACAATAAAAAAAGAAGTTTCACGCTGATACCCGTTAAGCTGCTGAATAACTTTAAAAAAATTTCAATTTGAAAATTTATAAGTTTGTAAAATACGAAATACAGCGCTATGTTATAACAAAACAAATATAAAAATTACCATACCCAACCCTACCCCACCATACTTCAAAAATTTTTGAAATGCTAATGACCTTACTAAAAAAATGAAAAAAAAACGCTTTGTAATTGAATCTATTTTACTTTAACATGCCTTACATTACCATATTATTAAAAAATATTTTTTTTCTTAAAACGCCACATTCCAAAAAAAATCGGCTCCTCCCCAGTGTTTTGCCCGGACCGGTACGGAGCGTTTTTCACCGGTCCGGTCCGGCGATTTTTTGAGTCCGGTCCGGTCCGCAAAAATTTTTTTTTTATTTTTAGAAAAAGCAAGAAGCGTTAAAACCGCTTTCTTTTTGCTTAAAAACTCCTAAAAATATGTTTTATTTGCCATTTTTAAAACAGTTTTCTTAAAGTAAAAAAAAATTTTCTTCCGGACCGGTCCGGAGCTTTTTCTTCGGCCCGGGTCCGCAGGTTTTTGGGTCCGGTCCGGTCCGCCAAAATTTCTGTTTCGGTCCAAACGGTCCGGCAAAACACTGCCCCTCCCTTTCCCTCTTCAAAAAATCCACCTCCTCAATCCCCATTCTAAAAACATTCATCCCCACCATCCCCCTCCCAAAAAAAAAATCCAACTCCTCCCTTTCCCATCCCGAAAAAATCCACATCCTCCACTTCCCATGCCAAAAAATGCACCACCCCCACCCCTATTTCCACCCCCTCCTCTTACTACATTTCTTCAAGGAACCCGCCGAAACCAAAACAAACCCGAAAATCAACATAAAAAAATAATTATCCCTTCAACATGTTCGTTGTTTTATTATAACAACACGAACAAACGTCTGTTCGAATCGGCTTAAAGTGTGCCATAAAACAATCGACAAGATGGTGAAACAATGCATTACCATTGCGTAACACGAAAAACGGAAAAGAAAAGAACAACAGTCTGGGCTCTTTAAGACCGTTCGACAAGATCCAACGACAAGATTACGTTAAGGCATTACGGATGGGGGAGGAAGACGAAGGTTTCCGAAACGTCTTGGGATTGTTGACAAAAGTAGCAAAGGTTGGAAAGAAAATGTAGTTTTTAGTGAAAGGTGTAAGACGACAAAATGTTTACTGTCAAGGTAGAGCAAAAGATGCCGACGGCGAATAGTAAAGAACAAATATCAAGCAAACAACCGGGTATAACTAAAGAAAAGACCAATAAAAAGCTTAGAAGTAGCGCAGAAAATAGAGCTAATGTAACACTGTGGTACAATGTACCTTAGCTTCAGTTTTAACCTTAAGTTAGCCTGTGTAGGGCTAGCAGCCAAGCTAATAGAACAGCTAGGTTAAGGCTAAAGTAGGAGTAAAGTAATAGTAAACTAAAGCTAATAGTAAGGCTAGGTTAGGGCTAGCAGTAGGGCCAAAGACGGGCTAGAGTAGGGCTGGTAGTAAGGCTAAAGTAAGGGTAAGGCAAGGCTAAGCGCAAGATTATGGTAAAACTAGCAGTAAAACTAAGAAAAGTTAGAACTAGGTTGAGGCTAACAGTAAACCTAAAAGAATATTGAAAGTAGCGCTAAAATAGGGCTAAACTAGTATAAGATAAGGCTAAGAGTAAGGCTATGATAGAGCTACAGTAAGGCTAAAAGAAAAGTTAGGATAAGACAAAATCAAAACCAATTCTAGGTAGAGTAAAGACTAAAGCAAGACTTAGGCCAGGGCAAATTACGGCAAAACAAAAAAAAACCACAAACCGAAAATTAATTTATTTTATAAATCACTACCATAACCCCCTTAATTAAGACTTATCTTTTAGTCAGATATACCTCATTCGTCAACGTTTACCTGTTTATAACCCTCTCTCCCACAGTCTTAATTAGAGATGAGTTATGCAAAACAAATCAACAAGAAAGTTCAGATCAAGATCACACCTAAATTTACGACATTTTCGCTTACGATAACAGTTACGTAATAAAAAACAAAATCAATATTTATAGAAAAGAGGAGTGGGGTCGATCAATATATAGATCAAGTTGTTACAAAAAAAAATTACTTAAGTTGTGAAAAAAATAGTACAGGCTTAACAACTAGTCAATTTTAAAAATCGACAACAATTATTGCAAAAAGACATTCCACTTATGAATTGTTGAGTGTATGCGTAAATTGAGGTTAACAAGATGGATTGAGATGAGCTAAAGACGATTGGCACACTTTTATTATGATCGAACAGTTGATTGAGCGCTTTGTTAGGCTTAATGCACTGCTAGGAAATGCATTTGCTAATCCTCAAGAATTATTAGAAGAATCATGATTGTATACCCTACCCTACCCTACCCTACCCTACCCTACCCTACCCTACCCTACCCTACCCTACCCTACCCTACCCTACTCTACCCTACCCTACCCTACCCTACCCTACTCTACCCTACCCTACCCTACCCTACCCTACCCTACCCTACCCTACCCTACCCTACCCTACCCTACCCTACCCTACCCTACCCTACCCTACCCTACCCTACCCTACCCTACCCTACCCTACCCTACCCTACTCTACCCTATCCTACCCTACCCTACCTTGCCTGGTTTATTAGGCCCTACGCTCTGCTTTACCTCAATCTTACTTCAACCAAGGCCTACGTTTCACTGTACAGCTGATATCTAAAAGTTACTCAACTTTAAAATTTACCCTGCACTATAAATCTCATGTACTGTATGCCAATAAGAAAAAGAAACAGACTGGGCTGGGCCCACTTCATAAACCCGAACCTCTAAGTCCGACTTTCGGGCTGGTACTGTTTTCTTTTTCCCTCAAAGCCAGACCTGAACATCCCTTTCATATCCCCTACATTCCTCCCCAAACCAAAATACCCACCATTTTCGTCCCCCCCCCCCCTCCTCATTACTTCCATTAAACTATTTCAAAAACTCGAAACCTCTTAAAATTACACTGCCCGCCAAATTCGAAATCCCAATCCAAAAACATTTCAAAAAGATGTCATCAAATCGTGTAGTCGAAGTGATCGCCGGAGTGACAGCGACAAACAGCAAGATTTGGGCCAATTTTAAACCGCGAACACAAAAGAAGATGAGAAAAGCAATCGAACGGTGAAAGAGTTAATTAAAATAGGTATAGACTCAAAACAAAGAGATGACAAATTGGTATGGAAAAGTTTGGTTTGGGTTTGAAAAACTGTTTTATGACTAAAAAATGCAAAAACTTTCTTTACAAAACATAAAATGGCAAGAATTTTCTTTACAAAACAAAAAATGGCAAGAACTTTCTTTACAAAGCAAAAAATAGCAAAAACTTTGTTTACAAATTAAAAATAGCAATAATTTTCTTTACAAAACAAAAAATGGCAAGAACTTTCTTTACAAAACAAAAAATGGCAAAAACTTTCTTTACAATACAAAAGATGTCAAGAAAAACCCAGTTTATCCTCCCCACCCCTCCGAAATAAAGCTCAATTTGTCCTTCCTAACCCCCTCCTAACAATAAAAATCAATTTTTCCTCCCCATCCCCTCCCAAAACTGATCTTCTACAGTCTTATCCTGACCTTATTCACCCTTGAATTAACTGTTTAATCCCCGCAAATCCCTGCAATCGCCATAAACCCAATGAAATTTCGCGCGCTATGGCAAAATTCGAAAAGCACCTCCAGCTGTAAACACATAAAGGCGGTCGGAACGCGCCAAATATCCATTTCGATTAAGTTTCTTGAACGAGGTAATATGCGGTCGAAACTCGAAGGTTGAGAAAAAGGTTATTCAGCCAGTAAAAAGTAATGTTATTGGAAAAGGAAAGTCTTAGAGATTTGCTTAAAATTCAAAAAAAAAACAAAAAACCGCTACCTTGGATCTGGCTCTAGCTATAACGTTAATTTGAGTCTTAGTCTCATCTTAACTTTGAGCTTGAACCTAGGCCTCGGCCTCAGATTGAGCATCAGCTTCAGTCAAAGCAGAAGGCTAAGTCTGAGCTTTAGCCTTAGCATTAGTCTTAGCCTTAGCATTAGCCTTAGCATTAGCATTAGCCTTGGCCTTAGCCTTAGCCTTAGCTTTAGCTTTAGCTTTAGCTTTAGCCTTAGCCTTAGCCTTAGCCCTAGCCTTAGCCTTAGCCTTAGCCTTAGCCTTAGCCTTAGCCTTAGCCTTAGTTTTAGCCTTCGAATCCCAAAGCTTGTGGAATGACCTCTGGGAGAAAAAACCTCAAGGAATGATTGATTTCGCAGCGATCACGACGCTTAAAACGTATGTCCCTAGGGCTATAAATTTTGACAAAATTAGAGCCGCATTAATTGGCCCAACAAATTTCGTTTGGTTGTGAGAAAACTTGTGTTTAAATTTAAAAATTTTTAATTGTTAATTTTTTTCCAATTTAAAATAGCAAGAACTTTCTTTACATAATGAGAAATGCAAGAACTTTCTTTAAAAAACAAAAAATTGCAAGAACTTTCTTTACAAACCAAAAAAAACCAAATTTTACCCTTTAAACCCACCCCCACCTAAAAAATTGTAAAAACGTTCAAATCGGCTTAAACCCCCCTCTTAGCCCCTTCAAAACCAAGTTTGAAAACTTGTTTTCCAGAACCCAAACACAGTTATTTACAACAAAGTGCTAAAGCCCAATTTTCCGCGTTTTTTATTCATTGGAATGACCCACTGACCATTTCCAATTCCAATTTCGATAAGTAACCCGAGGCCAAATCAGCCAAAAACTGCATTTAAAAAATTATTTTTCTCCCGTGCCAAAGTCAAGATTGCCCTTACAATTTGGTTAATGTGTTGTAAAGCCGGATATTTTTTTGAGGAAATATGGGAGGGGGGGGAGGGTGAAAAAAATATTTTTTTGAGAAAAGTATGGAAAGGGTAAATTTGTTTTTAAATATAGGGTGGGGTAATTTTTTAACGAAAAATATAAAGAGGTGTACATATATTTTGTTTAAAAAATATTGGGATGGTTCTTTTTTTGAAAAAAACAAAATGAGGGGTATTTTTTTTGGAGGGGGGGGGGGGAAAAGGAAAATGACAAAAGTTTGAACTTTACGTTTTTTAACTGCTAAAACGCACAATTTGAAACAATTTGAGCAAATTTTCAAAAATGTATATTAATAAGTTGACATTAAACCAACATTTTTTCAAAAATTTAAAAAAATTCAAAAAATCATAACTTTAAAACTAGTTTATGAAAAAAGCTGAAATTTTGCCAAATTATTCCTATGGTCACGCCAAGTTATATTAAAAGTACAACTATACTTTTGTCATCCAAAAATTTGCTTATTGCATCAAAAAGTCCCCAAAACCAATCTTTTTTAGTCAAAAATACTAAAATACGCAATATTTTTTCTTCAAAAATACGATTTTTCATAATTTTTTTAGTATAAACATTACTTAACTCAAAAACCTTTACCTAAACTACACTAACTAAAATGACCACTCCCCCAAAATTTCATTTTGAATGTCCATTTTACTCTTTAACAAACCCAAACCTAAAGCAGTAAACTTTTTTTGTCCGAAAGAATTGCAAACAAAAACGAATTTTCATGGTTCAGTTGGCTATAACTTTATGCCCAATCAAGTTTGGCATTTTGGCATTACGACAAAAGTTTTACGACATTCGAGGAAATGTGAAAAAATGTTAGTTTTTACGAAATTTAATAAATTTAAAAAAAAAATTTTTTTAATTTTGAAAGTTAGAAATCTGCCCAGAAAATGAATAAAAACTTTGTTTATGAAACTGCCGTACCTTGCCTTGTCTTCTATCCTGCCTTAGTCTTTGAATACAAAAAATGGCGCTTTGGGTATAAAAAAGGCTTATAAGATGTCCATTAAGAAGTCAAGATACCGTGAAATCCATATGAGGACAAATGCAGCTGAACGATTTAAAAAAAACGGCGTTTGGATTAGAGAAAGGGGCTTAAAATGACATTTTGGGCTAATAAAAAGTGCGATTTAAAATAAATTTTAAAATTAAAAAAAAATCAAAAAAACACTACCAAGAAATTAAAAAGCAGGTCAAATCCCAACAACCAGAAAAAAAACTAAAAAACACCCCCAAAATAACAACTCAGCCTAAAACCCCAAAAAACCAACTCAATCCACTGACGATAAATCAGTCGGCACAAGTCAGATCAGGCGATATCTCGAACTGACATGGCCTTTTAAAGTGAGTGCGCCGCCAATTCAAAGGTAATTTTGAAGGTATTTGGAAAGAGATTAAATCAGAAGAGGGACACACCTTAATCACAGTAAAGACATACAAAATGAAATGGCGGTTTACACTGATTTTACAGTAAAGTGTATGGTAATTTGGGGTAAGGGTAAGATAAGGGGAGGGTATAGCTCGGGCTAGGGCTAAAGCTAGGGTAAGAGCTGAGGCTAAGGCTAAAACTAATGAAAAGGCTATAACTAGGGTTAGGGCTCTGAACTAGGGCTCTGGGCTAGGGCTCTGGGCTACGGCTCTGGGCTAGGGCTCTGGGCTAGAGCTCTGGGCTAGGGCTAGGGTTCTGGGCTAAGGCTCTGGGCTAGGGCTCTGGGCTAGGGCTTTGGGCTAGGGCTCTAAGCTAGGGCTTTGGGCTAGAGCTGAACTAGAGGTTGGGCAATGGCTAGAGCTAAAGCTAGGACTAAAGCTAGAATTAAAACAAAACAAAAAAAATTAAATTTAGCTTGCCCCGGACCTAAAACCACTTAATGCAGTCAATTTTGTGGCTTTACCGCTTCTCGGATTGCCTTCTGTTCGTCGAATACAATAGAAAGCGGACAAAGCAACAATATGGCGCGTTAATGCGGTCAAATGTCCATAAACGACAAAATTATGATTTAAAAAAACTGTTGTATTTTAGTCAGAAAATCAAAAAAAAGTTTAAAATTTTGGTTTTTAGCTATTTTTGCAAAAAAACCTAATTTTTTAAACTTTGAACAGGCTTTAAAAGCAAAAAACAACAAAATTCCGATTAATCTTGTGATATGGTGATCCAACTTTAATATTACAACGGCTTGAACAGTGAAATAAAAATCAATTTCTATATATAAATAATTTGTAAGGTTCGGCCAAACTGCAAAAATTTTTTGTTTTTGAAGACTTTTTATTTGAATTTTTTAAAATTAAAAAAAAATTTAAAAAATTTTTTACCTATTTCTTACCTCCCCCATCTTTCTCCTTGTTATAAAAACTAACCTGCTTATGCCCTATGCAAAGTCAAACCAACCAAAAAAAAATTACAAAAAATTTTTAAAAAACGCTCCTTTCACTACCTCGAACTTAAAAAATCCAGCCTCATCTGACCCAACCATAAAAAATAGTTTGTCCATGTCCTAAAAGTCACTAACCAAAACAAAAATTTTAAAAAATTTGAAAGACACCCCTTCTACTCTCTCAACCTTAAAAAATTCACCGCTATCTGACTAGCCTAAACCTGTAGAAGATCCAAGCCAATCCAGACCTAACTTTTTAGCCTGTCCGCTTTAAAATTTGCTTTGACAAGACCCAACTCCAAAACGGACTAGCATTCAGAGATGCCTAGTGATCCCCTTTCAGGTCTAGACCATACCATATCATGCCCAGACCAGTTAATATAACAACATCCATTGCCATCTGATCAATGTAAAACCGGTCAAAATGAATAATATTCCATGAAATTCGCGGCGATACAAAAAAGCGGTAAATGAAAGTGCCAAGAAATAAAAAAAAAGAAACAAAAAGGAATCCTCATGAAAGGAGGGTCAAATAAAGACAAAAGGTTTGGGCGGTGGTCAAGCCGAAAGAAATCGAGAAAATAACGGGATCTGCGGGCATCACGGATTAATAAAGGAATAAGGCGCGCGAAAGAAACTGTGAGGAATGGCAGGGTGTTGTAGGGGAGGAATTAAAGTTTAATGTAAGTTTGGATAGTACAGGGTCGAGTACGGCAAAAAACTATAGTAGGGTAAGGCAGAGTAAAATACTATACACCATTTTTTACCTACCCCTTCCCTCAGCTACTCCTACCGTATTTAAAGTTCTCCCTCCTTTCCTGTCCAACCGTTCTCTCTCTTATCTTCCCCCCCCTCCCACGCTTTCTAATTCTTTTTGTCATACCCCCCCCCCCCCCTCTTCCATCATTACAAGCACCATTAAAACGCATAAAACCTCAAAAAGCACTAAAAAATAAACAATCTTGGATTTGCGACACATGTGGCCGCGAAATATACATATCTCAAATGTCTTCGGATCATACGACGATCATGTTGTTTGAGAAGGTATGCAAAAAGAACAAGGTCAAAAAAGTATCAGGTGACAAAGAGAAAATAATGTTTTTTGGGAATGGATTCACTTGTAAATAAACTAAAGCGTTCTTACTGAATCCTGAAGAGTTTTTGCAAATTCTTTTAATTACAAAATTTTTTAAAACTAGCCGGATAACTCTAACTTTAGCCCTAGCCTTAGTCCTAGCCACAACGCTAGACCCTAGCCCCTGCTCTAGCCATAGGCCATGCTCTAAAATCCACGCCCTAGTCGAAGCCCTAGCTCTATCTTACGCTACTTTGCCATACATTAGCCTTAAGCTCTTACTCCTACCGTATCTTTATTCTATCACATCCTATGTTAACTTCATCTTTTCCCTACCCTGCCTTTTCTTTATTATACATTACCCTTTTCGTGTCGTTCTTTAGCCTAACCGCTCCTTGTCTTACCCTGCCCTATCTTTTTCTTTATCATGTCCTATCTTACTTTTTTTCTTTTCGTACTCCGCCCTACCTTTTATTTATTGTAATCTATCTTCTCTATATTATACCCTGTCTTACATTTTTATTGTCTTACCCTTCCCGCCTTTCCTTTATTACAACCTACCATCCTTTTTTCTTGTTGTACCCAATCATATGCTTTCCTTTGTCGTATTCTATCCTACTTTTTCCTTGTTGTACTCTACCCGTTTGCTTGTCTCACCCTACTGTCACCGCTTACTTACTTGTACCGTGCTATTATTGATAGTTACACTAGTTTTACATGCCATTTATTTGCACTAGTCAACTATCCCCACCTTTAGTTCTCCAACCCTAAATTTACTCAAACAAACCGAAACTTGTCAGAAATCCCAAACTTTCAAAAATCCAGTAAACAAAACCCTGTAGCCAGCTGAACGTTTTACAGAGCCTTTTAAAGTAAGCCGCTTAGTAAGGGGGAGTTGAGGTCATTTTGTCTTTTATGTGTTCATCTTCTACTCAAACCCCTCTTCTTTCCTGTCTTTTCGGCTATAAATCCTCAAGCAACATGATGTCCTTGATTTATTAACAAAAAGCAAGTTTTTTGATATAGGTATAGGGTAAAAAATGTCTTTATTTGACTCTTTGCTTCACAAAAATGCTAATAGTAAGAATTTTTATGTAAAATACGCTGATTACCAGAAGTCTAACATATAAAATTATAAATTTTAATACCTAAACACCCAGAAAATAAAAAAATATACAAAAAGTCATAAATAACAATTTACAAATCGTTAGTGTTTGCCCATTAAAAAGCAAAAGAACGTACAAAAAATGGCATAAAACAAGATAAAACTTGTCAAACATCAAAAGTCTATGACGTTGAGGCTTTTTCTTAGTTTTTGCACTAATAAAACGCGTTCTTGCTTACAATTTGTAAAAGAAAAAAAAAGTCATCGAAATTAAGTTAAATAGAGCCCCACCATATCCTGCACTACCGTACTCTAGCATACTCTGGTCAAACGTATCTTACCCTACCCGA